GTGTAGAAATTTTCTTCAGGTTTTCATGTATCTTGAAAGAACTCTAGAATAATTATTTTCTGTCCTGCAGTATTTTTGCTGCACGAGTATGAAATCAGTGTAAAAGTGGAGATCTGGTAACAATTTTGAATTCAGAATATTAAGAAAATAAAGTATTTTTTTCAAATTTATTTCCTACACTTTAACTAATAGCATTGTTCCCTTTATTTCAGGTTTTTGCAGTGTTTGGGGTGAAAGACAATAAAAATGTCATATTGTTCAATAGCATAATTGGTATCATGTTTGCAATTTTGAATGGATAATGGGGCATGGGCTGAGTGCTGCTATCTTGAAATGTGCACAGGTACACTTACAGTTTTGTTTTGTATTACATTGTGCCCATTGATTGAAATATCATTGTGATCTATACTACAGGAATCAAATGTGTGTCTACATCCATGTGTGTATAAAGTACATAAAATATACCTAAACATGCATAATGGGGTTTGGGTAATACCATCTGTGAAATAATGTAAGGAACTTTTCACTTAAAAAAATTGAATTACTTTCACTTAATACTAGACACCAGGTCAAAAATTTTCAAAGTTGCTGCAATGTGCTAATAAATTTCAACAATTCTTAGAAATGCTAGCTAGTTCTACATTATTTATGCAGAATTTTGATTTTTAATTTTTTTCTTTTTTTGGTTTAAATCATTGGTAATAGCTTGGAAGTAAATAATTATGCAATGGTATTTGACAGTTTATTATTCATGTTAGTAAAATTTCATTGGGTTTAGAGAAAAATGATGTTAAGATGATTAACGGTTAATTAAATCAGATATTTATTTGTTACATATTTCATATTTGTATTTTAGGTTTTCTTTTACATTCTTTTTATATGTTTTCTGACATACATATTTTTAAAGACTATGGAAATAATTTAAAGATATGAGCTCTGGTGGATGATGATCTACTAAGTTTGAAAATGTAATATTTTGATAATACTGTACTATAACACACAGATGCTTTTCTAATGTTTTAACATTGAGTACTGCAGTTACTGCTTTGTACAGAGTTACTGCAATAAAGGAAGTGAATTCAAATTAGTAACTGTATTTTCATTTTTTTAAGGTTTTAATTTTGTTATTTAATCATTTCATGAGGGCTCTTACAGCTCTGAT